TCTTTATATAAAAATTTTTATATAAAAATCTTTATATAAAAATCTTTATATAGTTTGCATAACAATGGTCTTTTGTTAAAGTGTTCTTTAGCTGGTATAAAGACGTATGCACGTGACTAATTTCTTACTCAAGATTGGATAATTGCTTCATGAATTATTAATGAGTTTTTAATTTAGTTTAAATATCTTTGATTGAATAAGTGCCTGAAATATTAGCCAGCTTCGAAGTCTGAAGTCTGAAATCCGAAGTCTGAATTAAGTCTGAAGTCCCTACCCGGCTTTCGTAAGAAAACGTGCCAAGATTTAAGATCGCCAAAAAAAATATGGAGGTTAAACACTTTAAATTATCCATGTAAACCTTTTTAAAGGTTTTTACTATTAAAATAGTTCAGTTTTATACCGTAAAATTAAGATCTATCTATCTGTATCGAGTTGAAAAATTTCTAACTTATAGATCGGACAACAGGTGAAATTAAAAATTCTAAACTAAACCGAGAAACACACGCTTGCACTTTGCCTGCTACGTTTGTTAGAAAATGCGGGGTGAGTGCTGGACGAGAGATGAGAGGCGGGCATAAAGGTCCACCTTGCTTACCTGGATCGATGCAAGAAACATTAGTTAGCTCGTCCAAGATTCTCTGCAGACTATCCTTATTCGCTTCAAAGTATTTCCCTTTCGTCGACCACTCTTTAATATCACTTCTGAATTTACTCAACGTATCCTCTGTTCTTATTCTCAATCCAAAAACAACGATATCTCTACCTCTGAGATTTTGAGCTCGGTCCTTAGCAAGCATTCGTTCGCCATTACTGTTACTTTTGTATTTGCTACCAAATGTATCTTCGCCTGGACGTCTGATCGGCTCACCATCTGTAATTATCAAGACCACATCTCCGGCGTCTGAACGATAATTTTCTGGACTTGTCAGTGGGAATTTCTACATTGGATAGGAAAATTTTTCTGGTTTTAACTTTTGTTATCATATATATTCGGGAGATGGATAGTGCTCTTCACGCAATTTTGACTCAGAAAATTTGACTGCATGATTGCTCAGCTCCGGATGTCCTTGCACAATATATTCACCTCTGGACAAAAACAAATGGTTTCTCGTTTCTCGCGACTCTGACAGTGTAAAACCAATGTGAATTATTAGATTTTCAAGATTTCAAGATTTATATAAAATTTTACAAATAATTATGATTCGAATTGATAATTTCAAGTTAATTTAGTAAAGTAAAAGTGCGTAGTGATCAAAGAAGCATAAGCTTTCGAGTTGATCACTACAACTTTCGAGTTGATCAGTTTTTGTGGAAGCTTTGCCATTTATACTTAAAAACCATGATCTCACCTCATCAGCTATTTTTAATGCCATTCCAGTTCGAGTACCATTTCCAGATATGTCACTGTAGCTTAAACTATCGACGTAGTCGAGTAGTTCGGTCTGGGTTTTCATTCTTCCCAGTTCCAACAACACTGTAGTTTGGGCCTGTGTACTGAAAGTCAAAATGCCAATATTCGTCCCGGCAGGGCTAACATTCAGTTGTGGGCTGGTTAAGAATTGTTTTAGGAACGGTCTGACTTTATCTTGAAATGTTGATTCCCCCACCGAATACGAATTGTCCAAAAGAATCCATATATCTTTCTTACAATCGACGTATGAAAAAGATTGGACATATACCCTAATCTTAACCCAATCTTGAACTGGTGATATTGATGCTGATTCTGGAATTGCTACTCCTAGGAATTAGGAAGCGATTGATAAATTAGGGATAATTATTCGAATGGCGAACATTAATGAATAACTACTATATAGTACTATATATATTTTTAGTATAAATTTTGCATATCAAATGAGCAGTAAATCTGACGCATTATTTACCACCAGACTAGTAAATAATGCATGCTTTTCAAAAAGAATGATTCGGCAAATTTGGTTTCAAAATTGACGAAATATTGAAAAATCGTCCCCAGAAAACGAAAAAAGCACAAAATGAACCGGTGAATTCGAACGAAGTACAAAAACGAAAAAAAAAACGGTGAACGAAGTACAAGCGTATCAATACCTCGGAGTTAAATCCTTAACCTATGTTGAGCACAAAGACAAGATATATAAAGAAGCTATGAGAAGAGCTAAACTCCTATCACGCATACGACGTGACATCAGCCCATTGATTGTGTAGTCAATGTACAAAACGATGATAAAGCCAATCCTTTTATACTGCAATAATCTATATTTCTCGGCGACACAGTCAGCTCGATCGAAAAATTCTAGAAAGTACAAGAACGAGCTTTCAAAGTTGCTTATGGCAACAACATCCAAAATAATTGGACAAAGCTGAAAAAATCCGAAATAGAGATTGTGTAATAGAAGTGTTTAAATGTTTAAATGGCTTGGCACCTCAATGCTATGATGGCTACTTCCAAAGGCACTCACATGGAAAAGGCACCCGTGGAGATAATAACAAATTGCTATTGCCAAAAGTTAGAACTGAAACTGCACGGAAACGATTTGCATTCCAAGGAGCAGTTCAATACAACAAACTACCAGACAGTCTAACAAAAGATCGAAACATCATTACTGAGATTTAAAGAACAATGTAACATTATTTTTAACTGTTAGAAAGTTAGAAACGCTTCGTAAATTAGAAACATCTCACTTTTTATTGAACACTATTCTTAATAACTATTCGAAACATTTCGTAAATAAGAAGCTTCACACTTTTTATCTATATAAACTTTATTGTAAACACAGGTCCTTGATTTATAGCAGCTTAGTATAGCTGACCAAGTTAACCTGTAAAAATATAGTTAATT